AAAAAAAAAAAAAAAAAAAAAAAAAAGAAAACACCATAAACAACCCACCACAGCAAAATCAACCAACAACGAAACCCTCAACGAATGAACAAAATCACAAACACATTACTCGGTAGTAAGCATATCCAGATCCAGAATCATCCACAGAAGTCAAGGAGGAGACCAAGAGATACGGCTACAAAAACAGCAGCAAACAAAGGCAACCCAGCTGGTGGCCCCTCGAAGTGATAATTCCTTTGACGAAGCTGTTTCTCGTCCAGAGTTTCACGATCATTGAAAAGTCCCTACGAAGTACATCCCGATATCGAAATTCGCCCGTCTTCTCGAGAATCGTATGGTCTACAGAAGAGGAAAATAGAAAAATTAATGGAAGTTACATCGAGACAATTATCCAGAATCTTTCTGGTGCATTGATGTGCTGTTCCTATGCCGCCATGGGATTTTCCTTCAGCAGTTCGCTTTAACAAAGTGCATATTCTTCTAGATGCAACTAACAATTTAATTTCTAAATGTATAACCATTTATGAATTCCATTTATGAATTTTCATTTATTATAACTTTAAATTTGGTAACAATTTGACCTCTATTATCAAAATTAATGCTAATTTTTTTTTAATAAATCTTAATGGTCATTTTCATGGAATTCATTACTAATTTTAAAGTTATTAAAATTTGAAGACTAAATTATAAAAATAAAAAAATGAATTTAAGTCGTTATAATTTAGGGACCAAAAATAAATTTAACTCCTTATAATTTTTATTTAATGTTTAAATGTTAATCTTTTAGCAGTTGTTTTAATCATTATAGTTAATTGTGTTTATAAATTATTTGGTAAAAAGGTAACGTTCTTATGTTGTTTGATTAATTCATCATTAAACGTGGACAAGTGCCAAGTGGTAGGTTGTCGAATAAATATTATTTAATTTTTTTTTTTTTTTTTTTTGTTATATAGATTAAAATTTAATGACGAGGACTTGAATAATATTTTTATTTGCAGTTTAAATATATAGTTAAAAGAATTAAGACATAATTAATAGTTCCGTAGGTCATGAAGCTATTTATAGTTTAGTATATAGATAGTAAAGCTGATAGTCCCATACTGTACATTCTTAAAGTCATCCATACAAATTCTATAGTCAATATTCTTCTTGCATTTTCTCTATCTTGTTTTTTTGTGTTCATCTAGATTGAGTGTGTTCATTTTTATGTGATCCTAACATTATTCTCATAAATGTTCTCCCAAGTAGTTTTTAATACTGGGTACTTGTATAAAGTACTCCACGTTTTTTAATATTCACTAATATAAACTTCACAAGTGTGTGAACCCGAACATATCTCAAATATTCTTGTAGAACAATCATTTGACTCTATTATACTTAATTGTAAAGAAACCCCACAACGAAAATGGTTTCTGTGAATGTTTGATTAATCCACCACACCACCTAAATGGTGTGAAAGTTATCTTATTTATAATCAAATGAATTACAAGGATATGGAAATAGTAATAAATGGAAATAACAATAAATGGAAAGATACCTATAATAATAAGGCAAATATTTATTTGCCTTATAATAAAATATCAAATATAGTATATATATGGTAAACTATAATTTATTACTAAATATCCTTAACACCCCACCGCAAGCTAAGCGTCGGATTTAAACGAACGTGAAGCTTGAATCTGAAAAATTCAAAGAGGTTGAGAAACTCTTTTCTTGAAGATGCTAACAACCCGGTTCTTGGCCATCAAAAATTGCAGAGGGATCGCCGCTCAGCGACGATGCTGCCTTGGCTTCGGCGAGAAAATGTCTAACCCATGAAGAGGGATTGTCGCTTAGCGACGATGCTGCCTTGGCTCTGGTGAGAATATTTCTAACCCCAAGAAGTAGAAGGGGAAACGTAGAGCAAGGGACAAAGACAATGTTGAAGCCGGAAGAGTCGCCACATTGGGCGAAGGAGCCAATTTTGGCGAGAAGGGCAGTCGGAAGAGTCGCCTCATCGGACGAAGAAGCCAATTTTGGCAGGAAGGGCGGCGGCAACTTGGTTGGCGAATAGGCCAGTGCGGCACCCAGATTCCGAAGGTATATCTCTGCAAAAGGTTGATAGGTTTAGGTTAGGGTTTATGTGAAGGATGAAGGTTGATTGGGAAGAAAATGAGAGAGACTATAGTGGCCAAGGGGAAAACCGATTTGGTTGGAAAAGGTGAGGTTGTATGTACAGAGTATGACGAAAGGTGATTTGGAGGTCAATAGGGTGGAGCCGAAGAGTAATCAATCGGCTCCGACTACGGCAGCCATGAAGACTGCCCCTGCGGGGTCAAAACCAGCAGGGGTGGTGGAGAAGAAGATTAGAGGATTCAAAAGCCATTGAAAAGAAAGAATGAGGGTTGTTAAACCGAAAGGGCTCTGATACCATGTGAATGTTTGATTAATCCACCACACCACCTAAATGGTGTGAAAGTTATCTTATTTATAATCAAATGAATTACAAGGATATGGAAATAGTAATAAATGGAAATAACAATAAATGGAAAGATACCTATAATAATAAGGCAAATATTTATTTGCCTTATAATAAAATATCAAATATAGTATATATATGGTAAACTATAATTTATTACTAAATATCCTTAACAGTTTCTAATTCCGAGTCTCCAATGGGAAAAAGGGTTCAGTGAAAGCATGCACAAGGCCAACAAGTCGAATTCGAAGTGTTTTTAACCACCCTGGAGAAAGATTATATAGATGTATGAGCATTCATAGGGTGAATTTGGGTACAGCAGAGTGGTTGCTAAACTATTCTAGAAAACTTAAAAATGTTCTATGATCTAATATTTGGTTGTACTATGCCGTGAAGCTTCCACCCACCTAGTCCCGCCAAAGCAAATGCCTGAATAGATTACAAGGGGTAAGGATCAGTAGGAGCAAGAGTTATTCAAAAGCTACTTTGCATTATAGTGAAAGCATGCATATACTAACAACAATATGACCATATTTTGTACCACAGAATAGTATAAACCATGCGATCCCGACTCTTGATCCGAAAAGAAAAGAGAAAATGTGAGTATCATAAACCTTGAAGAACAGGCTCAACATTTATAACCAGTCTCCAGAACATTGTGATCCTTATGCAAGAGCTATCTAAAGCTCCTGCAGCAATTAGTGATCACATCCTTTCACCATGACACTTGTTAACTCCATGACAATCGCCCAGTTCAACTGGATGTTATGCTCTATTCTAATAGAGCACTATGTCACAAACCGTTAGAATCATATCATGTAAAGAAATTCTCCTAAGAAGGAAGGAAGACAGGGTTCTTATCTCACCTATAAAGACTCTTTCGCATTGCTTATAATAGAATGTGCATCTTTGGCTAAATGGTTAATTAATCTTTAATAGCCAAAAGGCCTAGAAAGGATGGACCGAACACCGCAAACCAGTCGTTATTGGAGTAAATGATCCGGGAGTCTTTTGAATCAATCTTTTCAAAGAAAGAGAGTGCCAAGAAATAAAACATACCCCTCACTTTTGAAAGGTTTGGATGCTCAATATCCAAACCATCCTACCATACATTGACTAATGGTGGTAGGACAATGGACTTGAAAATTGACCTCCATTTTAAAACCCCGACCCTCCATGTTGGGCGGGAGCTGCTTAACCTCCAGCATTTGAAGAAATATGTCTCAGATTATATCAGTTTAGTTTGATCCTAAAGAAAATAAGTTCTGAAATCGAGAATATAGTAGCATAGAATGGTTATTGTATTAGACGTGGACGTGCATTTTCTGCAACGTTGCATGAACAGCTCTGAAATCCAGCGAAGATTTCGTGGGATCAAATCTACTGAGGAAGTTTATTTTCGGGAAATAGAAATGAAGTATTGGTATCCAAATTGTTTCTAAAATGAAAAGTCAATTTTCCTCTAAGTTTAACTGAGGGCAAATAATGTGAAACCACAACGAACATCACTTATATTCCTACGGTACTGTATGTACATATTCAATCATAATACATGCTTACTCAGCCATCCATAAAATTCAAAAGTTAAATCAATCACATCAATCAGAAGGATTAAGGCCTGACCTCCTCCCATGATTTTCCCGAAGCCTCAAGCAAAGCAGCATTGCATGTCTTCAGTTTTATGGAGGAGCCACTAAACATCGAGGCTGCCTCTTCCCAGCCTTTATTATGTCCCATACACCTGCATAAAAATAACTATTTCACAAATCTTTGCAAGAAACCGTGATGCAAATATTTGTCCATTTAAAACGAGAAACATCATGTGGGAAGGGTCTTATACTTAATTCCATTCATAGAATGAGAAAATATGGCTGAAATTGAGTTCACTCAATCGATAAAGTTATTATGCCTTCATAATAGATCTGACTCCAAAATGGAACGAGTTCTGACATGAGAGGAGATTAAAACATGTGCCAGACGTTGGGCCCCCAAAGAGGTGGATTGTGAGAACCCACGTCGGTTAGAGAGGGAAACGAAACATTTCTTATAAAGGTGTGGAAACCACTCCCTAATAGACGTATTTTAAAACCGTGAGGCTCACAGAGATAGGTAACGGGCCAAAGCTTGAGTTGTTATAGTTTATACAAGAACAACAAATACATGAATGAAGTATATAGGAAACATGCTGCGCAAGTGCCGTGGGGGAGCAACATTTTTCACCTCGGTGACACTGATATGACCTTACCAATTAGAAAGGTATCCACTGGTAACTAATAAACAACAATGATCTCAAAACTAAAGACGTTATAGACAACAATCCAATGCGTCCTTTGTACTTGTTTTATTTCTTGTGGAACTGTTTAACCCAACCAAGAAATGCATGTGTACCTTTTCATAAATAGAGGCAATAAGACTTACATGACAGTAATTATGTCATTCCTCGAATAATTACTGATAGCCTGCTGAAGGTGCTCCGCAGTTTGACCATCCATGGCTGCAATGGAATAAAAACTGGGAATGAAATGAACCTTTGCTTCCGAAAAACCAACAACTTGCTCCTGCATTATCTGAAGTGTTTCTCTGGTCCGCTTGGCATCACTGCTCCAGTAAATGCAAGTCGAAACCCAAACGCTAGACAGTTAGATTCTCTAATTTTTGTCCTGAATACCCTACTTTAATACAAAGAATTGAAGAGAAGTGATTAATGGAAACAGGAAAAACCTAACGAATTAAGTATTCAGACCTATAAACATGTACTGCAAGGAATTCTAAGTTCTAACAGGATCAATCGAATGACGGGGAGAAAAAGACATCGGGAAAGCGTATAATCAGTTGAAGAAAAACCTAACCTGGATAAAATAAGTTCAGGGATCCAGTTCAATTCTTGGAGTTTCTGAGCAATTTTAATAGCGTCAACTTTTCCATCTTTACTCAAGGGGCGATCGTGATCTAGTGAACAATGATAAAAGAGAACAAAAGAAATTGACATTTGATCTTAACAGAACCATAATAGAATACGATGAAATATCACAATGAAAGAGCATCAGAGAAAATTATTGTTAATCATCGCTATGTAGACAGTCAAATAATCTGACAGATTTGAGAATGTCACCTCGCATTGAAAGTTTTTGCCGCGAACTCCTGGCATGGCGAAGCAGAATAAGGCGACGAGCAACAGATTCCGATTGAGAGGTAGCTTCCTCAGTCGCCACTTGGCTCTCCGCCGTCTGAATAACCGTAGATGGCCATTGAATAGCGTTTCTCCCCCTCGCGAAGGAGCTTGCATGTTGAATTTTAAGGAACTGTGGGTGAATGTGATTACAACAAAATGAAGCATTCATTGTACAGAATCTCCCAATCGCTTCTGGAATGTGTTCGATTCGACCAGAGAGGCGACAGAGCCGAGTGAGCTCGGAGAAGCTACGGCGAGGTTAAATTTTGAAACAGTACTGATAATCGGTGGTTGATTCTTCCTAATCGAATACCAGCTGCATCGTAGTTGATTTGGTTCGCTCACTGGGATGTATCGCCATGCTTAAATTGTCAATAAACTGAATCAATCTCTGGAAACAACTCGAGAGTTCCTCGCTCGAATCTATAGAACGAGAATGGTAAGGGAGCTTAACGAATAGACGAGTAGATAAGGCTTTGGAACTCCCAAATCATTTTTTGTCGGACACTAATAATAATTACAAATAAAAAAAAATACAAATAAAAATAAAAACTTCACTTTGTCCATTCAAAATAATAATAGTAACCCAATTATTTATTAATTCTTAATTAAACCCTTAATTTATCACTGTCTTGGTGGCATTGTCGTTGAAGGAAGAAAGGAAACATCTTTTAACATTTTCGCACACCACACACCACACCCGCAAGTCTACTTGTAGTAGATATTGTCAGTTTTTCTTTTTTTGGGCTTTCTCATTTTGACTACCATTTGCAACAGCTCAAGTCCACCGCTAGTGGATATTGTATTCTTTGTATTTTTCCTTCTAAATAACTATCTGTAAAATTCGCTAGCAATATTTTTCTCTTTAGGTTTTCACTTTTTGACTCCCACTTCCTCTCAAGATTTTAAAACACCGTGACACATAGAAGTTTTCACATCTTTATATAAAGAAAACTTGATTTCTCTCTCCCATAAAAATAGAATTATAAATAATGTTTTGTTCCCTTCTATAACTAATATGAGATCTCACAATTGATTACTCAAAGTTGCAACCCATTCAGCTACATTGGCTACAACCTTCTCATTCCCCTCTCCAACCAATATGAGTTCTCACATACTGATTGAGTACTCAAAGTTGCAACCCATTCATCCATATTGGCCACTACAACGGTAGGGTCGTAGCATCTTTGATGTAATTCTTGGCTGTCTTTTGTCATGAAGAAGAGCTGAAAAAGCTTGTATAGTCTGTTTAGAGCTCCTATGGATGCAGTAAAAATGTTTTAACCTTAATCCATAGCAGGTTGGAGGTTAACAAGCTAAGAAAGGAAGCTCCTTTTTATATTCTTGCCTTCCTCTCTCCCTCTAAAAATGTCATTTATGTAATCTTAAATATTATGATTAAGATTAAGAGGGTTAATTTTTATAAGCCACTGGTTCGATGTAGAGTTGTGGTTCATAGAGGTAGGTTTCAATTTTCCGCCTTATAAGGCTGCGATGTGCTTCAGACAAGAGAGCTCCGCCGGGGAAGCGAATAAACTCTTATGCGAATGATAGGTTGAAAAGAGTGGAGAAGAAGAAGAAGAGCATAATGACATTTGGGTTTCTCAGAAGAGCCCGAAATTTAATCGGCGTAGCCTCCACCACCGTTGCGGCGGCGTTTCTTTCTTCTAGTCCTGCGAGTTCCGGTTCCAAAATCGTCGCCATGGACGATCTCCATCTTCAGAATCTCAGGACCAAGCTTTGCATCATCGGTAGTGGCCCGGCTGCTCACACCGCCGCCATATACGCCGCCCGGGCGGAGCTCAAGCCGATTCTCTTTGAAGGATGGATGGCCAACGACATTGCGCCGGGCGGCCAGCTCACAACCACCACCGAAGTGGAGAATTTCCCCGGCTTCTCAAATGGAGTACTCGGAATGGATCTCATGGACCGATGTCGGAATCAATCTCTCCGTTTCGGAACACAGATTTTCACCGAGACGGTTAACAAAGTTGATTTCTCCACGAATCCCTTCAAGATTTTCACCGACTCAAGAGCCGTACTCGCGGACTCTGTAATTGTCGCCACAGGGGCTGTCGCTAAGCGTTTATCGTTCCCAGGCTCCGGCGACGCACCAGGAGGCTTTTGGAATCGCGGCATATCGGCTTGTGCAGTGTGCGATGGCGCCGCCCCGATTTTCAGGGATAAGCCATTGGCAGTGGTCGGAGGTGGGGATTCAGCCATGGAGGAAGCGATTTTCCTCACCAAGTACGGCTGCAAAGTGCACATCATCCATAGACGGGACGCTTTTAGGGCATCAAAAATCATGCAGCAGCGGGCACTCAGCAACCCTAAGATCGACGTGCTTTGGAATTCTGTGGTGGTTGAGGCCTATAGCGACGGAGACAGAGGGGTTTTAGGAGGTTTGAAAATTAAAAACATTGTTAGTGGAGAGTTGTCCGATTTGAAGGTTTCTGGGTTGTTCTTCGCAATTGGGCATGAACCGGCAACCAAGTTCTTGGATGGGCAGCTTCAACTTGATTCTGATGGCTACGTCGTGACGCAGCCGGGGACAACTCGAACCAGTGTTCATGGAGTTTTTGCAGCCGGAGACGTTCAGGACAAGAGATATAGACAGGCCATTACTGCTGCTGGAACTGGTTAGTGCTTTTAACTTCCTTGTTATTTCCCCATGCATTTGATATTCAAAACTTTTCAAATCAAGTTTGGTGTTATACTGACTTGGAATTAGAGGGAAATAGCTCAAACCATGAATTTTGCCAGATTTGTTGCACTCCAACGTAGAAACAAGAACGAAGTTACTCGTATAAACATGATTGTAACGACCCGTCTAGCTATTACTTGAACGAAATTTCTTAGGAGTGTAACAGCTCAAACACAAGATATGGTCCTCTTTTGGCTTAGCTTCTCTCAATGTTTTAAAATGTGTCTGCCTAGGGAGAGATTTTCACACTCTTATGTTTTTTCATTCTCTTCTCCGATATAGGATCTCATAATCTACCCCATTTGAGAGGACAATATCCGCTAGTAGTGGACTTGGATTATTACAAATGTTATTAGAGATAGACACTAGACAGTGTACAAGCGAAGACGCTATACCCTCAAGCGGGTGGATTGTGAGATCTCACATCGGTTGGGGAGAGGAACGAAGTATTTCTTATAAGGGTGTGGAAACCTCTCCTTAGTATATGAGGGAAGGAAGTCCGAAAGGGAAAACCGACAAAATGTCTGTTATCAGTGGGGTTAGGCTTAGCCAAGTTTCTACGGGAAGTTCAGCATGTTTAGACTTGATTACCATGTACTAGTTTATCGATATGACAATTGTTTTATGTATAAACACACCGTGGATGCGATGGTTCATCTTGTTTTTGGACAGTATTTCATCAGGGTTCTTGCTTTCTGTGTTTAATGACATTGATTCGGTCTGTTATCCTTCAATTCAAATCGAACCAAACGTGTTTAATTTAGTGTTTTCTGGGTAAATCTGTTCTTGTTGTGAGTAGAAGTAATGTGTATTGTTCTCATACTGTGGCTGATTCTGTTAAAATAATGCAGGATGCATGGCTGCTTTGGATGCAGAACATTACCTGCAAGAAATTACTTCTGAAAACAGTAAACTGTAAATTTTGATTACTTTCTCAGTAATTCAAAACCTAAACCCCATCAATACTCCTCTCATCCATGATGAACATGTTTATTACTTCCAATAATGTTTTATTTTTTTAGATTTTTTTTTAAGGGTAAGAATATTATTGAAATTTTTTTTGAGACAAAATATAAAGTTTAATGGTATTTATTAATTTAGCTGATATTATTTATATTAAAAATAATTCTCTATGAAAAAATCTTAAAAATAAAAAATAAAAAATAAACCTCACAATTAGTCAAAGTATTTCAGTTTTATTTATTTATTTAAATTTTATAATTATAATAATTAATTTTTTAGAAGAAACAATTGTATCAAATACTTGATCGTTTAAGATTTGTAATTTGATTTGTTAATTTTAAAATAGCTTTGATATGATATTAATTACCCTCTTAAAAGACAACGTTTATATGGTTAAAAAAATAAAATATTATTTCATAATTATTGAAATTAAATAATAAAAATAAACTACTCAATAAAAGGTATTTTTGACAAAATTCGTGAGAACAAATAAAATATTTAGAACCTAAAAAATGAATTTGCACCTAATTAATTAATTCATTTTTTGAGTTCAATTATAATTTACAATTTAGAATTTACATCTGACCGTCGCCAATTTCACCCTTCAGTCGTGAGTTCTTGTTGATTCCATCACAATCCTGCAACACTGCAGATCCGCCATTCTCCTCTTTGATTCTTCTCCCTACAACGACTGTCGAAGGAATCCATTGAAGAAGAAGAAGAAGAAGAAGAAGAAGAAGAATGCAGAATTACCCAGAAGAGCTTCGAACGCCGCCTGTGAGGCTAATATCGCTCGTCGGATGCCCCGACCTTCATCCCACCATCTCCAACCACCTCCTTTCCGAGCAGCCTCCGATCCATACCCTTGCATTCCCAGACCTCTCCAATATCTCCTTTCTCCTCCCTCTTCCTTCCTCCAAGGAATCCTCTGAACCTTCTCTTTCCACTCCTCCTCCCGGTATTCTCAAGAGGGATTGGCTTCTTAAGCGTCGGACCAAGGTTCCTGCTGTTGTTGCTGCTCTTTTCCCTTCTCTTCATGTTTCTGGCGATCCTGCCCAGTGGCTTCAGCTCTGCTCCGATCTCGATCACCTCAAGTACTTCCTTTTTACTTTGCACTGTTCTTTGTTAATTGAACTAGCAATGTAATCTGAAATCAATTTGATTCGATTTCCAGAGCTGTGACTCGTTCGAGGAACATCAAGTTAGTTGTCATTATTGTCCATTCTGATTCCAGAGGTAAACACATTGTCCACGGCTGATTGTTCATTTTTTGTAATTATATATACATTTAAGGTTTTCAATGCAGATGATATCAACGAGGATCGAATGATTGCTCTGCGCAAACGTGCTGAAGTGGACACGAAATATGTCATCTTTGTTAAGCCTAATGATGCTTCGGATTTATCGCAATCCCTTCACAGGCATTTCCCTTTTCTTGCATTTCCTCCATGTTTTTGCAACGCACGTGCACTTGTTTGTTACCAACTTGAAAAGCCGCAACTTCGTGAATATTACTTGTAACGCCCTTGCGCAGGCTACGGAACTCATTCTCAGAGCTAGCAAATGTATACTATAAAGATGAAGGAAGGAAGTTGAAAACACGAATTGAAAAGAGGACCTCCAGTTACACTGAGTTGAATATTCGGTATTGCTTTAAAGTAAGTTCTCTTCTCTCACAACACAGTAATCAAACTTCTCTGATGATTCATAAGGATATTTTACAATTTACTTCCATTTAACGGATTTTTACCTAAGAACGAAATTTTGACTGGTCCTGATCCATGGTAACGTTATTCAGTCACCTCTGCCAACATTA